CAGCTGTTAGACACTGCTCCAACGTTGCATCGAAACAGAACAGGGTGAGTCAAGGCATAAGTGGGCCGTGTTCACTTACAATGGAAAGTGACCTGAAGAACATAGTGAAGAGAAAATGTCAGCCATTGATGGCCATTCAAAGCTTGGGATGGCATTACACTGTTACCTCAGAGCAAAACAACCTTTATAAACTTGGGACATATTGGTTGTAAATGTTCCTGCATGTAAGTGCGAAGGATAATTTGAACCATTTTGTGATGGGATGGCCTATCAGTATTATCACTGGATTGTTAATCCAGAGACCCAGGGAATGTTCCGGAGACCTGGTTTGAATCGCTCCATCACAGACGGCGTAATTTGAATTCAATAAAAATCTGAAATTAAGAGTCTAATGGTGACCTTGAACCAATGTTGAGTATTGGAAAAATCCATCTGGCTCATTAATGTTTTTAGGGATGGGAACTGCTATCCTTAGCCATTTGGGACTGCACATGACTCCAGACGCACAGCAATGTGGTTGATTCTTCACTGCTCTCTGGGCAATAGGGGTGGGCAATAAATGCTGCTCTAGTCAGCAATGCCCTCATTCCATGAATGAATTTTTAAAAATCCTATCCTAGTGACAAACTACCGGTGAAAATTAAGATTGGGTGAGATTTCAATCCAATCTTGTCTAGGCTGAGGACAGGTTATTATATTATGAACTTTCAGTCTAAAATTTATTAATTGGACACAAAACAAGCTGTCAAGATGGCTGCCAAAGATTGCAAAACTTTTGGGATTTGGCCAATCAAGTCTCTGGCCAATCACTGAATTATGATGGCGTGGAAGGAAGTCATTTGCCCATCATATCTACACAAACTCTATTATCCAGTGCCAATACCTTGCCTTTTCTCCATATCCCTGCTCACCGTTAAAAGCATCCAATGCCTTCTTGAATGTTCAATTGAGCCTGCATATAAACGCCAGACTAAATTTCATATAAAGGTGAAGCTACCTCATGACCATCTGTGTAGTTGACAAGGATGGCCAGCACCTAAAGACTTTGGAATTTCCAGGTCGCCTGATCCATGTTTCATACTGGATAAAGAGAAGATAGAAACTCATTGGACATTATCCAGCTTCCTAGCATATTACAATGGTCTTCCCCCATCCAAACTGCAATGGGTGGGCCTCAGAAATGTTACTGCAGCAGTCATGGGATTGAAGCTGTTTTAACTACTATATCCTCATTAACCCAGGGTTCAGCAAATCCATCAGATATCAGCCAGTCTAAGATTCAGAATCCAAAACTATTTTAATGTCCATCAAGCAGCCAAAGTACTTAAACTGTCCCAGTTCGAAAGTTGACCTGAGAACTAACCTGCCAGATATTCAACAACTAGAAGCCTTACAACCTGCAGAGAATCCTCATCTCAACCTTAAAGCATCAAATCCATTCAAGAAACCAGTGGCCTGCCAGATGAAATACCAGAAAATCTGAAAAGTCTCTATCTGTATCAGCCTTTGTACACGCATGTGTCTTCACGAGACTGAATGTGTGATGGTGCATTAAATTGGGGTAAGGGGACAAGAATACATAAGTTTTCTCTAAAACTCTTGTAAGCTTGCCAAACTTTTTAATTGGAAGATACACTGCAGGGGTAAGAATAAACCCACAATTTTCCATACAAAACCTGTGGATATAGGCAGTAGGAGAGCACATATGTTGTGCAATTGACAGCAAGTTAGTTTAAAACTAATCTCATGGGTCTCACAAAGATCACAAAAATCATATAGCAAAGTGCTGATGAGGGAGGCTCAGTTTGGCTTGTTTATTTCATGATGTAGAAATATACATATCACCACTGCAGCGTTCGATGGTTAATACTAGATTCTTTCTCACCTCAAGTTCCAGGCCAAAATTATTCCAGGTATTTATCACGTTCTGTCTGAAAAAAAAGGCTTTCTGATATTAGTCTTGAATGTGTCTTTCATCAATTTGTGCTGATATCTCCTGCTGTCTTAGATTACTTTCATTCCAGGTTAACATTTGCCAGTATAGTTACCGGTGGTAATTTTCATATCAATTCTTGAGCAATAAGCAGGCTGAGTGGAGTGCCAGTCAGTTTTAAACCCTACCAGTTGGTCACTTCCATTGTCCTAGAAAGGTGGGTGACCTCCTGTGTTGTCGTACAGTTCATGGGAACTATTATGAGAGGTTCCTCATGCTCACTCATTCCTGCATTACAGCAGTTACTGATCTTCAAATGTACTTCACCCATTCTCACCTTCCTTCCCATGGTTCTGAATTGTTTTGAATTTGACTTCAGCCTGCACTCTTCCAAGTGGAACAACCTCAAGACTCAGAGATGGTTTTGAATTCCCTCAGCTTAACAGACAGAGGTTATAGAGTCATAGAGACATACAGCATGCAAACAGACCCTTCAGTCCTACCAGTCCATGTCAATCATAATCCCAAACTAAACTAGTCCCACCTGCCTGCACTTGGCCCATATCCCTCCAAACCTTGCCTATTCATGTACTCATCCAAACACCTTTTAAATTTTGTAACTGTACCTGCATCCATCACATCCTCTGGAAGTTCATTCCACACACGAACCACTTCATGTAAAAAAGTTGCCCCTCAAGTCCTTTTAAAATCTTTCTCCTCCCACCTCGGCCTCCCCACCACCACCACACCCCAACCCCACACAATTGCCCCCACCAGTCTTGAAATCCCACACAGCAGGGAAAAGACACTTGCCATTTATTTTATCTGTGCCCCTCATGATTTTATAAACCTAAATAAGGTCAGCCCTCAATCTCCGACAGTGATAAAAAGTCCCAGCTTATTTGTATAACTCAAACCTTCCATTCTGGGCAACATCCTGGTAAATGTTTTCTGAACCCTTTCCAACATGATAATATCCTTCCTATAACAAGGTGGCCAGAACTGGACTTTCACAAAGACTAGACAGAAGAAATTATTAAGCTAACTTTGCTGTTCAAGTAGCAATAACAGCTGAAAGCAACAAAGTATATTCAAGCGTTTTAAACACAATGTTATGGTGTACTGGCCACTGTACTACAATAACTATAAATTATGTTTATTTTCCTTTACATAAAAAGCTATTGCCCTGAGGCACTTCAGTGCAATACTCAATTTTTGCAGTGTTGTTTCTCTTGATATTTTAACCACTTTTCCTTTATCAGATGTTTGTTGTCCTGGTCTGGAATTTCAGCACTGTTTTTAATTGCGAGCATTTGCAGCCTTCTCTTTGTCTCTCCTAATAGTGACACTTTCCTGTATATCCTACATGCAACATGAGAGCTTGTGAAAGGTGGGCTTCTGTTTCCCTGAGAAGAAAGGCACTCTAATCATAGCCTGTGCAGGCTGAGTGGCAATGGTAACACCCCACTAAAGGCTATAGCCTGAAAAAAAATCTGTTTCTTTCCTCCCAACAGACTAATAACATCTTTGAGCCTATTACAGTAAAAGAACAAACAATCAACAGTTAATTTGCCAAGAAAATAGGGAGAGAAAGGGGCAGCCCCGTCCTTTCAACATCCCCGGGATGTTAATCTTTCATTATTAAGTATCTCAATGCGGGAAACTCAAATCAATTCCTTCATCTTGCTGTCCCTGCCTCCCACCACTGTTCCTTGTGGCTGACACAGAGAAAGATGCGAGGAGTCTACCTGTCACATCTCATCACAATACCACATGCTGCTCGGGACGTGGGCTGAGACTGCAGCTGGGAGCCTGCATGCGCTCACAGTTCCTCAACCCATCCACTGTTGAATCCTGGTGGAAGAGCAGGAACGCAACTCAGTTGCTCAGCAGATCACAAATCTGGTGAATCCACTGACAGAAATAACAAATGAATGAGTAATACTCTGCTGGAGAGGGAAAAAAAAGGAGTGAAGGGGACACTGCACAGTTGTGCAGAAAGTAACCCTCTCTTTGCTGAAGAAACAGGAATTCCACATAGTTAGACCTCGATTAACCCTCACTATGCTAAATAAAAAGAATTACACAGTTCCTGATTAAGACTTGCCTTGATGAATGAAAAGGAACTACACAGTTATAGTTCATAGTGACTGTTCCTTGGCCTGCTGAATAAGATAGAACTACAGACTTATGTGGTCATAGAATCATAGTCATAAGTTTTTACAGGATGGAATGAGGCCCTTCAGCCCATTGTATCTGTGCTGGTTATCAGACATCCACCTATTCTAAACAAAAACCGAAAGAACTGCTGTTGCTGTAGATCAGAGACAAAAATAGATGTTGCTGGAAAAGTTCAGCAGATCTGGCAGCATCTATGGAGAGAAATCCGAGTTAACATTTCGGATTGAGTGACCCTTCCTCACAACTGCAGTTTCTATTTTTGTCTCCTCATCTTCCAAAACCATTTTCCAGCACTTGGCCCATAACTTTGCATGCTATGGATTTTCAAGTGTTGATTAGATGTTTAGTGAAGTGAAACTATATGTATATAAGGGCAAGCCATATGCTGTTGAACAATTTGTGTAGTCATACAATTGCTATGCCAGTTAATTTAAGGATTACATACAAGTGTTAATTCAGCAACTTCACAACAGACCTGACTTTAGAACAGTCTTTCCTGCAGTTAGCTTATAAAATATGACAAGGAAATTGTTAGCTTGCTATTCGTCTTCAATCTCTTTTCTCCAGAAAATCCCTTAGTCCTTACATTTACCATCATTCTTTGGTTACACTCTTCCAATTTTCAATTCTTGCCTGGACCTTTGTTTTTTAAATAGTTCTTTCATGGGATGCAGTTGCCCCTGGCTACGGCTGGCATATATTACACATCCCTAACTGCCCTCGAGAAGGTGATATTCAATCTGTGGGGGCGATGCCAGAGCCTATGCGATATCACAAGGCTGAGATCGGACAGGCACAGTGAAGAGTGTCTTACAATCTGGGTTACTGAGTTCTTTTTTTTGTTTTATGTAATTCTAAAACACAATTAATAGTGTCGCTCACTCACCATTCAGCCAGCGGGAATTGTACTGGTCAGTCCTCATGGCTGTCTGCTTGCCCATGGTGCGAAAGATGGCGGCGTCTGTACCCATGAAGTCAATGTAGACGCCTGCATAGAGCTCACCGTCTGCCGAGAGGTAACAGAGTATCAGACTGAGATAGAATATGGTGGGGGTTGGGGGGAAAGGGAGTTAAATTGATCTAATGCAGCATGCTAACCTCGGCAGCCTGCTTACAACACTAATATTCAAATGGAAGTGCTTGAAGAATAAGTGGCTGTGAATTCAATTACAAGCAAGCCAAAAGCATGCCTTAATACATGCACAGTAAGTGTAAAAATGGATAGCCTCTTGGTCCTCACTGTTGGCCCTCAGTAACTGTTTATTCCTTTGTCTCTCTGATTGCACCCAATACATTGAGCCAAACTGCAATATGGGAATGCGATATGTCACATTACTTCTATTCCAAGTAAAATTACATCAAACATTCTTGAAAGGGGAGTGTGCAGGAAAGTGCGCTGATGCTTTCAGCTCTGACATCCTGGTTTTTAATACAGTTTGGGCTGAGGTAGCTCAAAGACTTGGATTTGCACATGCTCTGAGTGAAGTAAATTTGGGCACTCTCGGGCAGCTTGAGAGCTTGCAGAACAGAACAGAGCTGCCCACCTAGTGTCGTTAAATAATGCTGAAGAGATTATCTTGCTCAGAGCTGAAGTGTGGGAAAGTCCTTCGGAATCCTCTAAGTAATGCATTAACAGATACAAAATAAAAAGTGGGGCAGTGCCCCACCATTAACTGATTAACTCTTGAATGGCCAAATCAAAAGTAATGGAGATGGTATACCATTAGTCCAGCGTTAACTGAAAGATGATTTTTGGAACTATTATGCTATAAATATAAAGCAATTTTGTTAGTGGTTGAAAAGAATGGTCAACGTTTTTGGCGTTGATGTCTTCATCGAGAGATATGTGGTCTAAACATACAAAATGTTATCTGGTATCTCGACTTTTCAGATGTGCCATACCTTCTTGATATATTCTCAGCGTTTTCTCTGATTTTAACCCAGTTAAGAACACAACCAAATGGGGAATGAGAAAAGGCTATTCTGCTCATTCCTTCTCAGAATGCCTGAGGACAGCAGGCAAATGGACACTTGGCTACACCATACAGAACGAGGAGCCAACACTGAAGGAGACAGAGACTCATGCCCGTGAACGGTATCGTCCAGAGATGAGTGAGGAAGCTACCTCAGTGTTCAGTTGATCGGTGAACCATAGTTAGTGTTGAACATGTGCTATGGTCACCAGAAAGTTTACAAATTTAATCTGATTCCCCAGATGGTTCTGATTTGACTAATCTCAGTGTGGTCGCAACAATCATCCTCTGTGCCCCATAAATTGGAAAATTTTCTCAGGGGGAAGGGAGGAAGCAGGGAGGAGAGAATTCCACACAGATCATTGCTCTTGAATGTTATCCAGTGACCCTTGCTGGAATCTGTCTGTATGAGTGTAGAGGGAGGAAATTGTCAGACTAGGCCACACGGTTGAATGATCTACTGAGGCTCAGGCCTAGGGAGAAGAAGGTGTTGTTGCAACCAGAAAAGGCCCACTGTGAATCAGCTGAAGATATGGAGAAAACTCTAATTATATTTTTCCAGCAAATGTTATACTTCAGAAGTTATCTTACGACGTAGGGATGGGGGCTTGGTGCAGAGTTGGGGGTGACACTGAACACAAAGCAAGCTAAAGGAATTCAAAACATGAGCCAGGGTACACATCTGGAATGAAAATCTTCCCGCTGCTGCAAATTCCAGTCTGCATTCCAGGTGTACATGGTGAATGGGCCTTAATGCTCGACAATGACATTAGCTGAGTTAAGGGCATTCGGAGTTGCTCAAGCAGACACAAACAATCACAACAGCATTGTTTGTGACTGACATACCACCCCAATCACCTTCAATCTGTCTAGTGACAGTGACTTGCGTTGAAAGTTACTTGAACTGTTCCTGTGGGATCAGTTATTTGCTGCAGGATAAAATGCCTGACCGACCACCCACCCACCTTCCCAATGCCTGTACCACACTCCCACCACCACCCCCGCTCCCACAAGTCTTTAACTTGCCCTTCCTTTGCTGCCTGGACCTGTCAATAAAACCAGTGGAGTCGAGGAAGAGTAGTGAAACACTCACTAATTAATGATGACACACTGTCAAGCTTGGGGTCATAGGAACACTTGCCCTTGCCTGATTCGACTTTTCCTGGTTCCAAATGGAAGATGTAATCCTGAGAAAGTGAAACAGCCAGAGATAGAGATAAGAAAGAAAGAGATTGAGGAGAGAGAGAGAAAAGAGAGAAGGAAAAAACTTGTTAAACACTTTTAGAGCCAAACTATAAGATAGCAGAGATTGGTTACTACCTCCTGTGCTAGAGAAACTATAGAATCCATCTTCTTAATAATGCTGCCTTCTCCATATTAAACATACACTGCAATGTAGCAGACTGTTTAAAGATGCTGCATACAACAGGCAAATTGTACAAATATCTCTTTAGTAACTTATTCCTCAATAAATTTCATGATTTAATGTTCTGGAAATGGGGCTTTGCACAGCAGGAGCACATGTCGGAAATATGAATGAATGGGTCACTACAGCTGATTTGCTGCCTGCACAATTTTCTATCCATTAATTGGATGTAAAATAGTGCAGGCAAAGAATGAGGCATGTTGACATCTGTGGTTGCATTCTTGCTGTACATGCGACCTTTGTGTGAACCCTCGCTCTGGGGAAACACTAAATTGTAAAACTGATCCCATTATTTTGTTAAAGTAACGGCGCTTCCTCTACCATCTACAATGCCAATGGACAGTCCACCATCTCTAGTATTCATGGCTCATTAACATAGACTCCCGCGAACATACCCTCTGGGTAGCCAAGTCCTTATAAAATGATTCAACATATCATTCCTTGCTCCATCACTAAAGAGAAAATATAAAGCATCTATTTATAGAACCCCCTCCTATACAATTTCTGACCTGTTTTCAATAAAGCTGTCAAAGACAATCTTATCAGTCAAAGTACCATATATTTTAGAAACTTTATTCCTTCGCATGACAGTCTGTAGAAAAATTAATTTATATATCAGCCACTATTTGACATCAGAGATTAATTGCTTCCAGGGTGAAGACATCAGAGAAGAGAAACTGATATGACAAAGCATGGGCTATACCCAGTCCATAACTGTAAGAGATTGCCTGCAGTCAAAATAAATTTTGCTTTGTTTGAGGGATTCAACATTTTCGATAATACCTGGAATCCAGCCTGGGCTCAAGGAATAAAGGTCTTCCACCTCTGCCAGGTCAAGCTAAAATGTCAACACTTTTCTTAACGTATGTGGTAGAATCCCAGTACTCTGGTGCCTTCCTCAGGAAGGTAACTCTTTGGTTACAGTGGGATAGAAAGAGATTGCTGATTGTTACCGTTTGGACAGGGATTCAGGGGGAAGGTGAATGTACTCCTTGCTGGTTTACAAGGAGTAATGTCTGAATAGCTTGCTCTCTCTCCATGGATGCTGTTTGACTTACTGTGACCTCGAGCATTGCTTGTTTTCAGTGCAGATTGCAGCGTCTGCAGTAATTTTCTCCTATGTAATGTCAGAACTTGTTCAGTTTAGTAAGGCTGCAATGATTGGAGATTGGATTTGCACTCCTCAGTAGGAAGGTGAGGAATTTGATTGACTGGTTAGTATGGATGGATGGACTGTATCTGTGATCCTTGATGGCTTAGGTTAGGTGTAAGAAGTGTATGAGTTCCCAATGGTTTGTCTGTGATAGATTGGTGGAGGTTGAATGACTGTATCTGCATTCATTCACCGGTCTTCCTTCTTGTCTATGAATTTTATGCTGATATAGTTTGAAGCTAGACCAATGCATCTCCCGTAAAGGGATTCTGGTGATGTGGGCCTTGGGATAAGATTACACTGAACACTCACACTAATATAAATATAACTTGCAGCATAAAAAGGCTGAGGAGTGGTGGGTGTGGGATTGGTTTGCTGTGTTATTGAGGCTTTCTCCAACACCCACGCACCATCCATCATCTGATAATGATTCAGTTTTTTTCTGTCTCCAAGGCATGCATCGTGCACTTGTCTTTGCAAATCGGACAGCTTGTCAGATCTACCCCTGGCCCGGATCCCCAAAGAGTAATATGCATTGTATGTCTGACATTCCATCCTATTGTCACTAGTTCTCCAGTTTCAAAAATTGTCAAACATGCAAGGGAGGGGGCAGAAAAAAACAACTTGACAGCAAATCCCAGAAGTCACTGGGAAAAGAGGCTGTTGCCATGCTCGCTTTAACCACAGGAACATGACTGGGAAAGTTAGGATTTCCATTCCCTTTGCACCGAGCATTTTAAAGCTCCTCGAGAGACCTCACTGATCTCCTCGGTCAGAGAGCCATATCTGGACAACGCCTTGCTTTCTCAAGTGAGCGCTCGACGAGAGCATGATCCCTCAGCTGACAGGGGCACTGTGCACTTGAATCAAAGCAGGACGCCCAGTGTGTTATTTTGTACGGTTGCAGGAAAGGTGCTGGCCACACTCAGCTAGACGTGGAGTGATTAGCACGGGTCTGAGCAGTACCAGTTACAAAAACACAGGCTTGCTTAAAGCCACCCGACCACATAGGATTTCCAGATGCATTCGTGGCAAGTGTCTGCAAACCTCCAGCCCTACCTTTGATTAGAGCGCGACTTGCTTTTAAGTTCTGCATGAACCCATGGGAATTTTCCTGCTCTGCTCTAAAAACACCTGTGAGATGTCAAATGAAAGTGCAGGAAAGTGTAGGGCCTGGGGAAAAGAAACACGCAGCTGATAAAAAGCCTAATTTCACTCCTCTCTTGAGAGCTGTGAGCTGAAGGGGGACATGAGCTGGATCCACATTCTTGAAGTTGGAATTTTACTCTAGTTTAGTGCTGGGCCTAGCTAATGCTGGTGTCTGACAACTCTAGGTGTCTATACAGTTAGCACCTTACTGATACATTACAGCTCAGTTATGTCTTCACTGACACTCACCCATGGACAGTATGCGCTGGGTACATGTTGATGATTCATTTTAGCCTTGTACTGTGTGGCTTATGTGTTGAAATGGCACCCATGGACTACCCAAGAGGTATCTGTTCCCCTACAGAAGTTCTGTCCAGTTAATCTTTCATACTATTCAATTTCACAGAAGCCAATTTCATTGGGCAATTGTCCTGATCTTTGACCCTGACCTCATTCCTAAGGCATGAAACTCACAGGGTAACAGGAGGAGATCTCTCTATTAGGTGCCCATCCTTTACATGGTAAGTAGTAAGAGGCTTTGCCATACAGTTTGGACCAGACAAGAACATAAGAGCTAGGAGCAGGAGTAGGCCCTTCAGCCCCTTGGGCCTGCTCTGCTATTTAACGCCGCGGCTGATCTCATCTTGGCCTTAACTCCGCGTTCCTGCCTGCACCCCATAATACTTCAACTAGTTAATAATTACGAATCTGTCTACCTCCTTAAATTTACTCAGTGTCCCAGCATCCACCACATTCTGGGGTAGTGAATTCCAAAGATTCGTGACCCTTGGAGAGAAGCAATTCTCCTCATCTCTGTTTTAAATCTGCCACCCGCTTATCCTAAAACTATCACCTTTCATTCTAGATTGCCTCACATGAGGAAACATCCTCTCAACATCTACTTTGTCAATCCCCTTTAGCATCTTATGGACCTCAATTAGGTCTCCTCTCATCTTTCTAAACTCTAGTGAGAAGCTAAGGATTCAAGTTCTGCCTCAGACTTGATTATCCAATAGATAATTTGGACAATTTATAGGCCACCAACCCAAACACCATGTTGATTTAGTTTTAGCCCAGAGGAATTCTGGTCACAGTTCTCCAAGGAGGTAAGGCCAGAATGTGCTGGGATTGAGGAATTCATGTGGAGAATTTGGAGTGTATAATCCTGTTCTCACTTCATTTTCCAATGCAAGTCCCAAAAAAGGAGTGTACTGCACTTGCAGAGGCTAATGTCCCCAGGAGCTCTCTGGGTTGGCCTCTGTGTGAATCACCGAATCACACAATTATTACGGTGCAGATGGAGGTATTTCCATCCATTATGCCTGCATCAGTTAGAACCTAGTCACAGCCATTAAAACTTAGTGTGTGTCGCTTGCCCTTTACTCAGGGATGGATTGTAGCTGGCAGAGCCAACGAGGAACAAAATCCACCTCTCTATCTCAGGAAGTTTGAAGGTGCTAGTCATGCATTGGGTGGAAGAAATGTTTTGTATTGAATGTCTGGATAATGACAAGCAACATTTTGAGAATTGATCCACAACAAGGGACAAGCTGCAAAGCTCAACCTTGTTATTAAGGGGAGCCCTGATTAGAGGCCAGCTAGGCAATGAACAGGGAGCAGCCAGAAAGCAGGTGCCTAAATATTGAGATAACAAGGTGTAGAGCTGGATGAACACAGCAGGCCAAGCAGCATCAGAGGAGCAGGAAAGCTGACGTTTCGGGGCTGCGCCTATGATGCTACTTGGCCTGCTGTGTTCATCCAGCTCTACACCTTGTTATCTCAGATTTTCCAGCATCTGCAGTTCCTACTATCTCTGCCTAAATGTTGAGCAGAGACTAGGCCCCAAGCCTACAGTAGGCATTGAGCGCTGGCTTGATTCATTCCAAAGGTCAGTCGCTTGTCCAGAGGGATGGAGGGAGGTGGCAGAAAGGCTATGAGGGCAGAGTTAGGGTTGTCTCACAAATCTTTGTGCAACCAATAGCAGACAGGGGAGGCTTGTGAGCAGGTTTACCTGCTGTCCAGTGAACAGTGGATACTGCAGGGAAACCTAAAAGAAAAGAAAAGGGAGAAAATACAAAATATAAAATTTCAAAAATAAGGAGATTAGGGTGACAGACCTGATAAAATGACACAGTACATTGCATGAATGTAGTGGAAACCCTTTGTGCACAAACTATAATTGTGGTGAATCTTGGCAGGAATCAATGAACAACCAATAGGGGAGTCCTAAACTGCAGAAGCCGGGATTATTCTCCTTAAAGCAGAGAAGGCTAAATGGAAGTCCAATAGAGGTGTCTGAAATTGTGAATAGTTCAGGGAATGTGAATAAAGAGAGATTCTTTCCAGTGGTCAATAAGAGGGCACATGTTTAAGGTATTTAAAATAGCCAGAGATAGGGTGAGGAATAATTGTTTGATGCAGCTTGTGGTTAAACGTTGAAGTGCACTGCCTGATAGGGCGAAAGAAATTGGAAGGGTCTGGGGAAGAACAGAGTATTGGAACTACCTGGGTTTCTTTCTGTAAAAAATGGTCTCCTTTCATCTAGTACAATTCTATAGTTCAGGCAGTGCTGTCATGGTAATATTACCTGACTAGTAATCTAGACTCAAAAACAGAAATTGCTGGAAAAACAATGACCTGAGATGTTAACTCTGCTTTCGCTCCACAGATACTGCCAGACCTATTGAGATTTTTCAGCAATTTCTGTGTTTTTTTGTTATTTCCAGCATCCACAGTTTTTTGGTTTTTTTCGTTGCTTAGCAATCTAGATGACTACATTAATGTTTTGAAGACATAGGTTCAAATTCCATCATGGCAGGAGGTGAAATTTGAATTCAATTTTGGAAAAAGAACTTCTCTAATGATGACCACTTGATTGACATAAAAACCCATTTGGTTCAATAATGTCATTTAGGAAAGTAATCTGCGCTCTCTACCCAGCTTGGTAAACCCAGAGAAATAAGGTTGACTCTTAACTGCCCTCTGGGCAATTACAGATGGACAATAATGTTGGCCTAGCCAGCGATGATCACATTGTGCAAACCAATGAAAGAGGGGGTACACATACTCAATGTACTTACTGTTTGAGAATATGACAAAAAAACACAATAGAGATTAGGCAGAAGGATAATGAAGAAGGTGTTTGATTTGCTTAGCTTTATTGGTCAGTGCATTGAGTATAGGAGTTGGGAGATCACGTTGCAGGTGTACAGAACATTGATTTGGCCACTTTTGGAGTATTGTGTGCAATTTTAGTCTCCCACCTATAGAAAGGATGTTGTGAAACTAGAAAGGGTTCAGAAAAGATATACCAGGATGTTGCCAGGATTGGAGGGTTTGAGCTACAGGGACAGGCTGAATAGGCTGGGGCTATTTTCGCTGGAGCATTGGAGGCTAAGGGGTGACCTTATGGAAGGTTATAAAAACATGACGGGCACAGATAGGGTAAATAGGCAAGATCTTTTCCCTGGGGTGGGAAAGTCCAATACTAGAGGGCCTAGGTTTAAGATGAGAGGGGAAAGATTTAAAAGGGACCTAGGGGCAACTTTTTCATGCAGAGGATGGTGTGTGTATGGAATGAGCTGCAAGAGGAAGTTGTGGAGGCTGGTACAATTACAACATTTAAAAGACATCGGGATGGGTACATGAATAGGAAGGGTTTGGAGCGATATGGTCCAAATGCTGGCAAATGGGATTTGATTTATATAGGATATCTGGTTGGCATGGACGAGTTGGATTAAAGGGTCTGTTTCCGTGCTGTACATCTCCATGACTCTATGATATAATGTTTCTTAGATTTCAGTAAGGACTTTCACACAGTTTTCATGGAAAGACCAGGACCAAAAATAATGTAAGCAGGAATTTGTGGAAATATTTTACAGTGGATATGAAGCTAGTCTACTGATGGAGCCAGGAGGACTGCAGTACAAGAACTTGAATATACATGGGAATTGGGCAGATAGACGACAGATCAAAATTCAATATGCAGAAAAAATAGCTCAAAAAGGTCCATGGAAGGATGATAATGAAAATGAAAAAAATACTGTGAATTGAACAATGAACGCAATCAGGTGCTGAATAATTTTTATTTATTTATTCACTTGTGGCACATGTGCAGTGCTGGCTGGCCAGCATTTATTGCTGACTCCTAGTTGACCATAAGAGGGTATTGATGAACTGCCGCAGTCCACGTGCTGTAGCTTGATCCGCAATGCCCTTGGGAAGGGAATTCCGGGATTTTGACCCAGCAACGGTGAAGGAATGATGACATATTTCCAAGTCATGATGGTGACTGGCTTGGATTGGAAGCTGCAGGGGGTGGTGTTCCCATCTATCTGCTTCCCTTGTCCTTCTAGATGGAAGTGGTCATGGGCTTAGATTGGCAGATTGGTAAGGATGAGGTCAAGTAGGTTTTTCCCTCTTGTTGGTTCCCTCACCACCTGCCACAGATCCAGACCACCAGCTAAGTCCTTTAGGATCCAACCAGCTCGATCAATAGTGCTGCTGCTGAGTCATTCTTGGTGGTGGACATTGAAATCATCCATGAACACATGAGATTTCATTGGATCCAGAGTCAATGTTGAGGACTCCCAGGGCAACTCCCTCCCGACTGTATACCATTGTGCCACCACCTTTGCTGGGTCCATCCTGCCAGTGGGACAGGACATTCTTTATTCTTTGTTCATTCACAGAATGAGGGCATCGCTGGCCAGGCAGCATTAATTGCCCACACAACAGTTGAGCCAACCACATTGCTGTGGGTCTAGAGTCACATGTAGGTCAGACCAGGTAAGGATGGCAGTTTCCTTCCCTAAAGGATATTAATGAACCAGATTGGTTTTTCTCCACCACCAACAATGATCATAATTAGACTCTTAATTCCAGATATTTATTGAATTCAAAATTCACCGCTGTGGTGGGACTTGAACCTGGGGCCCCAGAGCATTATCTGGGTCTCTGAATTAATAGTCCAGTGATAATATCACTAGGCCATTGCATATCCAGGGATGATGATGGTAGTGTCTGGGACATTGTATGTTTGATTCTACAAGTATGAGTATGTAAGGCTGTTGCATGACAAGTCTGTTTGGCACTAGCCCCCCAAGTGCTAGTGAGGAGGACTTTGCAGCGTTGACAAGGCTGTTTCTGCTATTGACTTTTCCAGTGCCTGGATCAATGTCAGGTTGTCTGTCCGATTTAATTTCTTTATTGAGACTTTGCAGTGATTGATACTATTGAGAGGATTGCAGCCATATTGCTGTGGGTCTGGAGTCACATGAAGGCCAGACTCGGTAAGGATGGCGGATTTCCTTCCCTCAAGGACATGAGTGAACCAGATAGGTTTTTCCAACATCAATGTTTTTTAATTGAATTCAAATTCCACCATCTGCCATGGTGGGAATCGAACCTGGATCCCCAAAACAATAGCTGACTTTACAGGATTAATAGTCTAGCAATCATTCCATTAGGCTATCGCCTGCCCCCAATTTAAACTTATTACAACAATGCTCGGGGCAATGAGTAAAGAGCATCAGGGATACTTTAGAAGGCCATTATTGAGCCTAACGAATGATTTATACCAGTCATTTTATAAACCATTGATATGATTGCTCTTAGGATCTTTAGTAAATTGTGGTTAGCACAGCACAAAAGGGATATTGGATACTGAAGTGTGCAACCAGAGTGATTGAGTCGATGCACAGATTGGTTTATGAGAAGTGATTGTGCAAATCAAAATATGCTTAGTGGAAAAGAGAAGTTTGAGGTAGGGTCTTTAGGATCTTCACATGAGTAATAACATGTGGACCATGAAAAAAGCTACTTCATTTTGTCCAGATCAGTAGAACTGGAGGACCGCGTATGCAATTGATTGGAATTAAATTTAAAATGAATCAGCTGGACCTTTGTTTGAGTGAACAAGCTGTAAATCTATGCAATTGGCTTTCTTGGGAGAATGTGGAAGCAGATAGTGTTGGTTCATTCTCATGTAAATTGAATAGACATCTTCAAAAAAGTATCATTTTAGGACACAGTAAACAAGCAATTTTGATATAGAGTGCATCATATTCATGGAGCGTATTTTGGAAGAAGAGATAACTTTGACTCGTACTCCCAACACCTCCATTCCTTCCCCCCACCCTGGCTTTCTCTCATCTCATATATGTAGTTTAAAATAGCCTGTTGGAGCGGCAGTGATGATGGTGGGGCCAGGAGATTCTCAGGGGAGTATTCACAAGAATGCCTGGCCTATGGAAATTTGTTACCAGTTACTAGCAGGTAGGGCGTGACACAGAAATCCTGCCTGGCTAGTTGGCAGGATGCCAATCAACCTTGTTAATAAGCCACTTGATGCCCATCATCTCTGATCCCACCAGAATTCGGTGGTGACTTTGGCATTTAACAGGTTGGGTCTCTACTCCCTGGAGTTTAGAAGAATGAGAGGTGATCTCATTGAAATGTATGAGGTTCTTAAGGGGCTTGACAGGGTAAATGCTGAGAGGATATTTCCTCTCATGGGATAGTCTAGGACCAGAGGGCATTGTCTCAGAATAAAGGGGCACAAATTTAAGACTGAGATGAGGAGGAATTTCTTCTCTAAGAGAGTTGATGGACTTTGGAACTCCTTGTCACAGAGATCTGTGGGGCAGAGTCCTTGTGTATATTTAGAGCTGACATAGATAGATACTTGTTCAGTCAGGGAATCAAGGGTTTCATGTAAATGTGAGAGAGTGGAAGTGAGGAATGTCAGACCAGCCACGATCCTGTTGAATGGTGGAGCAGGCACGAGGGGTAAATGGCCTGCTCCTGCTCCTATTGCTTATGGTTTAATGAGACTTACATAGCACCTGCATCCAGGGATTGAGTGGCCAGCCCCTTTGGCTGAACCTTGAAGGGTGACTAGGAGTGACAGCGCTGGCACTGGGCAGCTGCTGGGCTCTGAATGGCCTATAGCTCTTAGGGGGTGGGATTACTGCCTCTGGGGTTCCAAGTTCCCTGGAAGATATGATGCTGGCCAGCTAAACAGCATTGCCCCTTTCCCACATAAATGAAACGAACCTCTAGCTAGTGGACAGGACCCTTGTCACTTATGACTAATTCTGGTCCAAGTTTGTGTCTATTGTAGATTTATTCTAATCAATCTGTTCAGAGATGTTATCATTGCATACCTCTGGAACAGGTGGGACTTGAACCTAGGCCGCCTGGCTCAGAAGTAGGGACATTACCACTGCACCACAACAGCCCCCCTGGGCCTATTGCAGACAAATTGATATAGATTGTCACGAAGTGTCAGTGACTCCGCTACTATTTCATTGTGTGATTTATCAGGCTGGTGTAAGGCAGGCAAAATAAATCTTTTATATTGAGTAATTCCTGTGTAAAGGAACCAATCTACGATGGTAAGGGAACATCGAATAGTTTATCAGTAGCAGCTTACCTCTGCCTTGCGGCCTCTGTTCACATACGTGCAGATAGGATGATAGGCTCCACTCCCACAGACGTACAGGTGAGTTCGGTTCCAAGGCTCAATCAGGCAGATGAAGTTCGCACACTCGCCCTGACAGAATCAGAACAAAAGGAAACCATTATAATCCTGTGAACAATCCACTGTCCGAATAATAATATCCAAGATGTTTTCTGGTAATGGGGGAGGAGAGTGGGCAGCTGGGTATCTTGTTCAGGTATCCTATCTACAACTTCCAGTGCCAGTACGTGCATTGGGCTGCAGCTGCTCAGGGTAATAAACTGACATGGAGACAAAAGGGCGAGGGGCACAGCTTTTCAGGTTCGGATTGCTCTGACAGGATGAAGGTATTCAGTTTTAGCCCATTGCATGTGGACTAGCCCACATTTTGCGCACAAGACAGGGCCCACAATTCCGCTGTTGGGTTGAGAAAAGGTGTGCATGAAGAGTCAACACACAGTGGAAGCCTTCCAGGATCTGAAGGAAAATAGCACCCATGCAAGTCAGGCTTTCTTGCCCAGCTCTTAGTGGACACAAGAATATCTTGTATTTATACAGAACGTTTGATACAGCAAGACATTTCAAGATACCCTGTGATTAAAAGAACACTGACACCTCTCTACATACGGAGATCTTAGCGTTGATGACCAAAAGCTTGGTCAGAGGTAGGTTTTAAGGAGTATCGTAAAGAGGAAGAGGAGAGCTGCATAAAACTCTAGAGATTATGGCTGAGGCATCTGAGGCATGGCTGTCGGTGGTGTTGTGATTAAAAGGGGACATGTTTAAGAGGCCTTATTTAGAAGAATATCAAGACCTTATAAGGTTGTAAGACAGGAGGAAGGTTCCATTCCTGAGAGGAATGAAGCCGAAGAGGGATTTGAAAATAGAAAAAGGGATGAAAATTTTAAACCCAGATGGTCACCCAATGCAATTTGTCATTGGGAGAACAGGATTGGCGGCAGGGTAACAAATGCACACTAGAGTTTTGAATGTATTTGGAGAATGCAAAATTGGCCATGGGAGAATTGGAATCCTTGAGTCTAGAGGTAACAGAACTGTGGATGGAGGACTGAAAGTCTGAGTACAAGCCATATTTGGGACAAAGAGCACCAGTGTCCCAGTGCAACACATGGAAATGAAAGGTAACTTTGATAGTGTAGGGACCACTTTCATGGGGCCATTTGCTATGTACATCAAATAATATCTCCACCTCGTACATAAACCATACTGTACTCTCTGTGGTTTGGATGGTGGAAAAATGGGAAACACTTATTTCCTCAGCAAATATAATCCTTCACTTTGACAGGCAACAATTACACCACAAAGAACTTATCAAATGTTCAAAAAACATATTTCAAGTGATTAAGCAGTAATACATTGCATCTCTGTCATTTGTTACAACTCAAAAAATTAATAACGCAAAGTCAATCCGGATGTAAACGTCTGATTTTGGGACTTTCTCAGAGGCTCGGGTTACAAATGTGGTTATTTTTCCTGTGAGCTGGTTGTCAGCTGTGTTACCTTTGAGGGATGAGTGAGAGAAGAAGAGGAGACAGGCAAGAAAAAGGAATGGGCTCCGATGATTTAAAGGCTTCTTTGTGTTTGCACCTCTGCTCTCCGTGTTGCCGATTCAGGCAGTGCGAGGTGTGTTGTAATTTGAAAAGAAGCAGCATGTCACCTTGAACAATCGTAAGGAGGAGAATGAGACAGATTTGCCAAGACTCTGGAGAGTCCAGCTCCCATAACCACAGGCAGCTGGCTTTTCTCCACGTTGCTGACCCTCAATTACTCCGTACTTGTTGTTGTCTAAAATGTCAGATCAATTCCAGCAATGAACGCATGGACCAGCAGACTCCTTGCCCTCCCTTCCTTGGTCCCAGAAGAGCAAGACTGGGCAATATTTCCTTTCCCTTCTGAAGCGAGGTTTCCTGTTAGGCTTCTAAGTCGACATGGTTGCTAGCGGCCACTTTGGCATCAATTGTGACCTCAGTGGGCAGCACTCTTCCTTCTCAGTCAGACGTTCCTGGGCTCAAGTCCGCTCCAGGGAGTGCAACGGTCCTAGAGGAGTGTCACACCACATGGCTTTTCAGTTGAGATATTCAACTGGTGCCTGGTCTTCTCTCTGAGGTAAAGGTTCCCACATTTATTGGTTTGAAGAAAGAAACAAGAGTTCTCCTTGAGGTGCTGGTTGCAATTTATCCCTTGGACTACATCACCGAAACATTTTATCCTGTCACTGTGGAGAAAGGGTCTTTCAATATGTAGATACTCTTCTGGTAAATCATTGAGATGTACATGCTCACTATCACCTTTCAAGTCCTTTTTTTATGTGAAATGCCATTCAGAATTTTAATAGCACCTGTAAAATTCTAATTCTGTCTTTCACACCAGAAAATAATCACCTTGACAGCAGCTGGCATCTCTTCAAAATTTCACTGACTTATTAATGTCCATTTTGGGAAAGTGAACTGTAACTTCTGTACTTTACCCGACCTGGGATGTCTCACTACACTAAGGGTACAATGTAAAGGCAAATTGTTGTTGTTGTTGTGGGATGGTTACCTAACAGTTCAAAGAGAAATGCCTGGCAGTGTTTTTTGCATTAATGGTAGACAGTGGGTTATATGTATATACTGTTGGCAGTGGCTGATTAGCTCAGAGCACGGTGATTATAACGCCAAGGTCACAGTTCGATCCCTGCATTAACTGTACTGTGACTGCAGCAAGGGAACGTCTTTCCTTCTGCTTAGTTGGAGCTTGAAGCATCCATGACAAAAGTGAGGCCATTCAGTCCCAATAGCCTCTTCCATTTCCCTGCCAGTGCAATTTACAAAACAGAAAAGTCTTGTGGTGCAGTGGTGGAATCCCTACCTCAAGCAGGTTGATTAAAAATATGGATAAACAATTGGCTTTTTGCAAGTTATCGGCATTACGCATCAAGATCGATACATTCCTTAGCAATCCCAATCCTCACTGGGGAAAGACAGGGTAGCTCTCATTGTAGAAAGGTTGGCATTTCTCCACAAGCAGCAGAAGCAATGTCATTAAATCTGCAATGTCTATTAATCCGATGACGGTCAGGCAACAATGTGACAACTGAGAATCACTCACATGTCTGGGGACTTCAGTCAGAAAGCCTATAAAATAGAGATCAGTAGGTGCCTGTCAGCGTTTATAACGGCAGGTCACCAAGCAATCTTTGCAAGATCCTGCAAGTGGGTTTCTGGCACCAGTTCTAAAACTGAATTCTTTCTTGTTGCAGTTTATTGAAAGCCTATCTCTTTCTCAAAAATGAACATTTTGCCATTGTGTGCATGCATATGACACAGAGCAACAAAGCAGGCAAAACGGTAATGAAACAAAAAAATGACAGTGCTCTCAGTCTGCCCTGACATTATTGAAAGGCCTTTCTGACTCTGTAGCTACCATTCTCACTTCTAGGTCAAAAATGATAGTGCGTTATAGGACACCTATCTATTAAGTGAGGCTAGTGTATCTGTGTGGTCATGAGGGTGTGCGAAAGGCATTGTCCTTTAGAAAAAGTATTAAACTGAGTTTATTTGTTCAGACACGTGAGGAAGGGGGTGAGGAAGAATCTTGTGTCAGTAGTTCCCAGAGGAGAGAATGGTTAACAACTCTCCATCATAAAATGATTGACCTCTGCTTAGTTGCAGACAAGCTGGCCCTGTCTTATCCCTACCCAATAGTGACTGTACTTGAAAAGTAATTTATTGGTGACGACCACCTGAGGAAATGATAACTGTTAGTTCTTTTGTGACTTTGTGAATGGCAAGCATTCTTTCCATAGTTGTGGAGTTTTAGTCAATGAAGAGAGAAGGTTAGATAGTTCAGGCACTTACGTTCTGATCTTTACCAGAGAGAACACACTCGTCTCGTCTCTGCTGACTTACAGACCAGTGTATCTGAAAGAAATGAAACACAATATCGGTTTTCATGTAAAGAATTGCAGAAATGACAGAACACAATTCTGAGCATGTCTGTGCCGGTCAAAGATTATTCTTCTCACAGAGTTGTCTATTTCGGTCATTTTTCCATTTCCTAACATCCTCTTGCAATCTTTTTCTTTAAATATTCACATATCATTTGCTTTTGATGAGATCCATAGACCCTGCATCAATGGGCATTTGTAAAATATTCCATGTTCTAATAACACTCAATATGACTGGAAAAAAATCCTTCCCCTTCTCATGAAAATACTGCTCTGATAATAATCATGGTGCTTGATAAAACTCGTACTAAATTGACAATGCTCAGGTCGTTGGCCATTGGTCGTGAGGGAGCACAAGCATCACGCTCCCTGTTAGAGAGGGAGAGAGACAAGCTGTATGTAGTTTGAAGGGCACCACTCCACATTAAGCATGGGACAAGGCAAAGAGGCAGAAGCTACACTGCAGCCTGTATGGGGATTCTACAGTGCCAGTGGAGGTATTCTGCACCACACTCTTGCCATCTGAACTAACCAACCCCCAAATAGTACTCACACTGGATAAAAATATGAGTGTTATCTCACAGTGTGTTATAACACTCATACTGATATGGTAATATCCACACTGTGTGATAATTGTTATGTGATAGGATATGGTGTCTATAAATTTCATACAGTGCTGATAAAACACTGTGTCAATAACATTCAGACTGTATTGATAACATCCACACAGTGATAATATCCTGTGATAATCATTACAGTGTCAATAAATCACACCAAGTGTTGACAAGGCAGTATTAATAAAACTATGTATTGATACATGCTATATAACATACTATAAAACAAGTGTCAACAATATTCAGTGTTGATAATACACTGTATAATACTTATGTTGGTATTAGTCACACTGTACCATATCATTGCTTTTCCTTCCCTGTTACTGGGTCAAATGTCTAGGATTTCCCCCTTAACAACACTGTGACTAGATGGACTGCAGCAGTTCTGAAGGCAACTCACCACCAGCTTCTCAAGGGGAACAAATTCTGCCTTTGCCAGCAATCCCATGAAATAATAAAACACTGCGCACTTATAACATTCACACTTTGTGGATAATATATTGGATGATTAACTATCATCTTAGTTCTGCTTTAGGACTATAAACACATTCCATTACTATATCTCATGTAATCATGTGTTCAAGAAGAACTGCAACCATCTCACACACCTGGTTAGCCTGGTTTTATGAAGGTGGGGAAGAAGTGCAGGACTGAGGAGGTTTACAAAACTCAGAGTAACTGGGTTTTAACAGTAAAACAACTGTATTAATTAATCTTTGAAATGGTTCCTGTGCGATGCAAAACTTTAAAGAGTCATTCATTGGAACCACACCAATCTCTTATTCATATCCCAGCAGATCTCCTTTGTTTTATACACTCATCTAAAACTGTAATACTTGTTCCTTCCTGTTGCGTCACTATAGCTGTGTTTCAAAAAACAATTCACATGAAGTCCTTTGAGAATTGTTCAAAGATGTCTTTAGGCGTTAAATGGATGTGAGTGTTATTTTTAATTCCCTGTTTCTAAGGTGTGCCTTTATTTCCTTTGTTTTCGCCCTACAAATCCAATCTGCAAAAACCTTTTCCATAGAAATCTATCAATGTGACAAAGCTGGATGCCCCTGGCTGGTACTTCAAAATAAAAACTCCAAATTCCTTCAAACTATCTAATTCCATTTGGTTTTCCTCTCTTGGTAGTTTATGGTGTAGTTTATTAGCACCACCAAAACTATAGTCACAAAGATTTCTGCTTTGATTATTATCTTGAGACTCTTCTGTAGCTCTCCTTTCATTATGTAATTAATTCAAGTTGCAGCCTCAATTTGCATACTTCAATATTACTTAACAGCTACTACTGGAAGGTTGACCTCTCTCCCTTGTGCCCAATTTTAAACTCTTTCTCCAGAATGATTGTTTTTAAACAGACCAGACTCACTATTAGAACTTGCACTCCACTTTTTTGTTTATTTTCCAGCCATTTACACCATTCAGGCAGGTCCTCATGTCTTGGATATAATCTTAAAAATTTAACCAATATTAACAGTGCCAATAACTGTACTTACACAACCCCTCTCTCTCTGTTCAACCTATTTTCCCCCTAATCAATTTATTCAGAGATGTTGTTATACAACTCTGGAGTAAGTGGGACTTGGACCCAAGTCTCTCAGTCTAGGGGTAGGGACACTACCATTGTGCCACAAGAGGGCCTTCTGGCCTATGTTCAATGGGCAGTTCTAAAACATATGTCACCTGATGTCCCATTTTAGCCAATTGGCCTTTCGATCTGATAGCCCTTTCAATGTGCATCATATTCACTAGGATGACCACAATTCTCCAGTCCCTAGTCTATTGTGCTGTTGTTCTCAGGACTGTCATCCCAAATCATATCTGTGACTAAGTGTGGAACAGACTGCTGTATCCTTTGACAGGATGTTTCAACCTCACCAAGAAGTGAGCAAATTGTCTGTGCAGCTTTAAGACAATTTGCTTGTTTTTCTCTCTGATTTGTATCACTTAATTAATACTAACCTTACTGAAATTTTGATTAGATACATCAGGTTTTACTGAGAGACATGGTCAGTCGCTGATTGGGTAAACTGACTTTCCAGAAACAATTGCTTTATTGTGTTCCATGCCCAGTTTAATTTGAACCCTTTTCAGAGAACACTTACTTAATAGCAAAAGTATCTAATTAGAGTGACACCAAATACTAATAGAGTGACTTACTCCAGAAATTTTACTTGGAAACACTACTCCTTTTAGTGATGACAATGTGTTCAGACAGACTCCCCACAGTGTGGCAACAGCCATTCAGCCCAACAGGGGCATCACACCCAGACCCATTCCCCAACCCCTGCTTAACCTAACATCCCCCAAACACTACAGGTAATTTAGCATGGCCAATCCACCTAGCCTGCACATCTTTGGAGCATGGGAGGAAACCCATGCAGACACAGGAGAATGTGCAAATTTCACACAGACAGTCACCTGAGGGTAGAATTGAACCTGGGTCCCTGGCACCATGAGGCAGTAGTACTAACCACCAAGCCACCATGCCATGCTGTCATCCTGAAACCCAAAACAGAACTTTCAAATTCCCTGATCTTAGATCAATCCTCATTAACGAGGGGACCCAGACAATGGTTCCGCCAAACTGTTCCATGCACTGTCGAGATGCAACCACTTTCTAAAAACACACAGTTAAAGAAATCTATGACAAACATATTCATCAAGCTACTAAAGCTTCAAGTGACTTATACAATTTGTTCAGACTGATCATAATCATCATCAGACTCTGAATTTTCTGCCTCACGCTCCATGTCACGCAGTTCCCCTTTCTGTAGTTCATTGTATTATGATATTCTGAGTCACACATATAAAGCACCTGTTAGCTGCCCCCTGGTCATTCCTGAAGTTCATTTACCTACTGTTGCTGTTTCAATTTTGTCATGTACTGTGGTATCCAGATGAGGTACAAGTCCTTTCATTCTCACTCCTTCTGTCTGTAACTCTTCCCTTGTACTGTTTCCTGCTGACAATGTCTCAATAATCTTACAACACCACAATCATTGAGCCTTCCACCTTTCGTGACATTGCAAAATGTGTCACTTTTTGCCATTGAAGCTGCTGGGAATGAATGCTTCCCGAGACATTTTTCAGTGTAGCAAACATCTGCTCCTAGAGGGAGCATCTTTCTGAGAAGCAAATCCCAGTTAACCCAGGAGCCTGTCCACATGCAGCATTTTATCACTATTCAGAAATTTAAAGACAAGTGCTGAATAAGGAGTCTTCAAATCGACTCTCTGCCATCTTTTGAACAATCTATTCAGAGGAATGTCGGCCTGTCTTTCAAAACCTATCAAAGTCTGAACATGCCTTGTAGGAATCTAACAGATTATCATTCCGGTAAATTGCATCCATGAAACCTAATAGAACCTTCCTCAATATCTGACTGATGGGCTTCCAACCAACAAATACTTTTCTCTGATTTTACTTTTGTTAGGAAGAGGTAATGCCAGGACCACACCTTATTTCCTCTTTGGTAGGGACCTGAGTTATGTCCACATATCCATTTCACTTGTTCTGTGATCATAAAGTACAGGCTGTGAGACCATCGGCAGGTAGTCATAGTCTGCCAATTTCCACTCGCTTTCAGCCATGCTTCGCAAAAGCTGCTCTGATTATAACGTAGAAGGGAATAGGCCAATTAACCTCTCTGATAAAGTCTTAATTTCCAACCTTTACTGTTAGGTACCACCCTCTACAACCATGTTGGGCATCTTAAAGCCAATTGGTGAAGGAGGAGATCAGAAGCCAATCTTTACATTTGCTCACATCACAAATGTATAACTTCCTAACTCTACAGCCGATTACTAGAGTCAATAAATGTCCCTTTTTAAATTTTTAAAAATGAATCAATCTGAACAAGTTATGGTACATGTGCGAGATAGAAGGGCCTTGAACCCAGAGCTTTTGGCCCAGATATAGAGTTACTATCATTGTAGCACATACACAAAGCACTATTCATTGAGTTCCCAAACCTGCAGAAACTTAATTTGTTCAATTGACACAGATGGGGCCAAAATGGCAGAATACATCAAGATGGCGTTGGAAGTCTATGGCTACCTTGGTCTTTATGTACAAAATGGCATTTGTTTGGAAGAGTTTAAGGAGTTCAGTGCATGCTAAAATAGATGTACTACGTTCTCTTACTAATAAAGGCTCCCGGTTGATGTTGTGCAGGTCCAGCGAGACAATATAGTCCTTGGTGCCTACATACATTCGGTCATGATCTTCGTCCATCAACAGAATGCGGTAATTGGTGGTGTTCTGCAGGAGAGTGTAGTGTCGCGCTGTATTTGAATGTTGCAATTCTGTGGGACGAGAAGCAGACAGAGACGATCAGAAAACCGGAGCAAACTGATAAACCAATCCTGCCACATCATTTAGTATAGTTGTAGCCAAATCAGGAAAAAGCAACTGTTTCATTTCGAGCAAAAAAATTCCTTTTATTATGTGTTAGAAGCACCTGTCTTACTTGTCCAATGGCTGCAACAACAGACATTAAATAAACTGTATCTCAGACTTTGGCGCCTGGAGCAATTGTACAGGAAATAAGTTTATAGATTTCCATTGTTGCTCACTCTTAACACTGACCAGCACATCAGCCTAACCACCACTGTCGAATACATGGTGTAGCAAAATAAAAGAGTAGTGAAGTCTTATTTCAATTGTATAGGTGCTTGGTTAAACCACACCTGGAGTACTGTGTCCGGTTTTGGTCTCCTTCTGTCAAGAAATATATTGTTGAACATAAAAGGAGTGCAATGAAGGTTCACCAGACTTGTTCCTGGGACGGCAGGACTATCTTATGAAGGGAGATTGGCCTTTATTCTCTAGAGTATCAAAGAATGAGAGGTGATCTCATTGAAACTTACGAAGTGTTTATAAACGGATAGACATAGTAGATATGAGTAAGATTCCCTTGTTTGGGGAGTCTAGAACCAGAGACTTAAGAATAAGAATGGTGCAACTTAGGTTTGAGATGAGAAGAATTTTCTTTTTAATCAGAGGGTTGTAAACCTTTGGAATATTCTAACCTAGAGGGCTAATAGAAGCTCAGTCTTTCATTATGTTTAGATTGGAGATTGATAGATTTCTGATTACAAGTGGTGTAACAGGGTTATGGAGATGGGGTGAACTAAGGGTTATTGAAGTGTTCAACCAGCCATTATCATATTGAAAGGTGGGTTAGGCTCAATGGCCTACTCCTATCCTTATGTTCCTATGAGGTGAGGACCCTGAGGGAATTCCACATGGAAGTTAAGGCTAAGTGTGGTGTTCAAATAAAGAGGGATTCAGGACGATGAATTGGATCATGTTAAGAAGACCATTACTCCTTTGTATATTGTCTTCTACATTATTGTTGTGTTATATCCTATATGGGAAAGGGAGGGATGGATAACTGAAGCAGTGGTATCCCAGATTGTCATGTCAAACAAGGAGGGACATGAACCTAGCCTTTCAGGTAATGAAAACAAATGAAAAATTGGGTTAATTCTTGTGCCTGGATTTGGTTATTGTTTAAAAACAAAAATACTGAAGGGATGTGGGTGTCGTTGGCTGGGCTAGCATTTATTGCCATGGAGAACATGAGAGTAAGCTGCTTTCTTGTGCCATTGCAGTCTTTGGGTTGTGAATACAATGTACAATTAGGGATGGAATTCCGGAATTTTGACCTGTGACCTGGTGAATCTGGCAGTGGGTGTGAAACTACCATGATTTGTAGGTTAAAATCGTACCTTAAATATTTTAGTGGACCCTCTTTCTAATATATTCGTGAGGCCTTCATGCTGCCAGAGGTGGTAGCCATTTTGGCTGCCGCAGAAAGAATGTATGGGTAAAATGGCAAGGAGGCAGCATCATACAGGGATCACTATGACTCATCCCATTTCAATTGGCTGTTTAGAGTTAGAATCCGTTTCTGAGGGGTTTGTGAGTCACAAAATAATAGATCTATGTTTCCGCAGGGGTCAATCACTTGTCCAGTACGATGTGGGGAGGGGGGTTGGTCAGTCAATCACTTTGCAATATGTCTCTGTGTTGCCATGGGGGTCAGCTGTCAGTCACTTTGCAATAGCTCTGCATTATTTAAGGTCAGTCAAGTCACATTGTAATGGGAGCTGTGGTTGATCATTCACAAAAGTGTCCCTGTTTGTAAAGGGGCCTGAGTGGGCTTCCTCTTGAAAAGTTAATTAGAATTCCTTTCACCTGTTTGGTGTCTATAATCTGTCTGATTTCCCCTTAAAATGACACTCAGTTTTAAATACTCTACAGGTTCAGAGCCAGGAAGTTTCAATTGCATAAACATTCCTTGCACAGCAGCTAATAGCGCTGATAATAATTATTATTACTTGCATTACATCCATCAAGCTTTCACCAAAGAACTCATTACAGGGGAAACCAGACAGCTAGAAAATACTATGAGTGGGCCTGTGTCAGCTCCACATATGAATGAGAGCTTTGTTGCCTAGGCTTTTGCTTAAGAAACTAGGATTTTTAACCCTGCAATTTAGGTCATGCCTGAAACATAAACAACATATTTTGTTCGATAAAATGAAGCACTGACACTCACAAACTACAGGCCATGCTCCTGTTTTGGTTCAGTTGGTAAACAGTGTGGGATTGTGCTACTCAGCTGGACTGGGCTTCATTCCTGGGTGTGATATGGGTTAGTGGTTGGAGGCTGTTACAATTGACCTGGATGCCCTTAAGGTTGGGCCTTCGAAGACTACTCTGAAGGTTGCAAACCCTCGAGAATTCTCTGGGCGACTCCACTAATTAAATATGAATTTGCCAGATAACTCAAGAGAGAGAAAAGTACAATTACAGGATCATGACAGAGAAACGTTGTGCCATGACACTTGGCCTCTTGAACAACCAATCGTTGGCTGTGGGGACAGGTCTACCCGAGGACAGAGTTCACAAAATGAAGTCTCCATCAATACATATGATCAGCAGAAGTTAGTAACCCTACCAGGGATGTGAGCTGAGTTGAAGATAGGGTCAGTCTTCACATTTTATGAATCCATTGGCAACCAACAATGAACCTTCTGTCAGTCTTACATACAGTAAGGATCTAACAAGCTGTTCTGAGGTTGTTCCATATCAGATAAGGGAGGGATCTGTCAGGGTCTGTGGTGATCCCTCCCCACCCATACAGCAGAGAGCAAACATATATACACAACTTCACAGATTGCGTTTTTATTAAGTTGATTCAATCGGCTTGTGCTTTAAAATATCTCAACACTTTGAAACTGCACTGACTTGCAATCTTTAAAAAATAAATTTGCCATAATCCCTGACATTGCATATGACAGAGGATACCGCTTTCAGATGAATGCAGTGGTGACATGACGATAAACTTTTTTATTCAGCAAGTGATTAGGATTTGGAATGCACTGACAGGGAGTTTGGCAGATTCCACCAGCGGTATTCAAGGAGAATTGGATCATTACATGAGCAGAGTGTGTTTATGGGCCTATGGGGAAAAGGCAGAACCATGGGACTAGATGAATTACTGTTGCAGAGAGCTAGCACTGATACACGGGACTGAATGGTCTCCACCTGTGCTGCAATCATTCTATGATTCCACGATAATGAAGATTGGATGAAGCAGGATTTGACACTAAGGCTCAATGAGATCAAAGTGCAGAGATGAAATTCAGTCCTTTCTAAAATTACATGTTCAGTCCGAATGTTTATATTTTCATCATTAACTCTCTATGCCCCCACGCGAAACGAAAATGGCTTATTTGAAATTGCTGTGCAATATTGCCACCTTTTGCCAGTGCTATGGCACCCCCACTGGCTCAGCCATGGAATTTCACTGTGATAAGTTTACATGACATACATGGACATAGGAATCTGGAATGTGCAGACCTTAGATTTTGGGTATATCATGAGAATTAAAAATTATTAGAGCAGAAATTACACCTTCTCTAAAAAGTTAAGTTATATTTAGAACGTCTCCTGCAGGCATGAATGTCATTCAGGTTTAGAATCTGATTCCAGGTTCTTGGCAGCTTGTGGAAAATGTCAGTTTTTCCCAATCTGACCTCATTTCTATTCTCTGCATTGTATGAAACTTATCATTTAATTTAGCAACGGCCATGCAGCCAATTGTGTTATCCAGTCACAAAATTTCCTTCCGCTCTTTAACAATATTCAAAGAGAGGAGAACTTCTGTCTCTGCGGGCTGCGACTTAGTCTTGAGTTCAAATCTCAGAAATCTAAAACATTACACTGGTAAGTTCTCCATCAAAGAGAGAGACCCAGTAATAATTCATCCTCTACATTTGGTCAATCCTCAGGCTCAAGACCTCGAGGTGAAAGGGCAACATTCTTGCACACTGTACTAGTCAGTCACCCATCAGGGAGAGGGACAGAGACATAGAGGAGAGTTTTCATCCACTCTGTCTGGGTTACATTCAATCCCAAGTCTTAGAGGTGAAAGGTGAGTGTTCTAATACATTGTGTCACCCAGTGCTTTTATTTTTACAGCTGAGAATTGACTCTGGTCTCCTGCTAAAAAACAAATTTGTCTAAGATGAACCTTGGCATCCAATGTATTCTTTGGTGGCTTAGTATTTATTTTCACAGTTTAGCGACAGCCGTAGGGAGGGGAGGTGTCTTTCCTCACTCTCAGACCTCTTTTATTACCCCTTTCAGCTCTAATCAAGTGTATTGAGCAAGAGCGAGGGGAATGTAAACTCAAGGCTATTCAGGTGAAAATCAGCATAAAACATTATAGATGTCTCCAGCTTGAAGTTGCTTCATGTAATTATTTGCTGAGCACTTATCTCATTGATGGCCCTACATTTCATGTGCTCATTTATAACGTACAATCACAATTTTTTAATCTCTTCGACAAAAGCAGAAATATGCTCCCTCTTAGCAGGGGTCACTGTGGCTACAATTACTGTCAAAACATAATGCCTCTCACTGAATGAGAAAGATAGCAAGCACACCATAAATTCCAGGCAGGTCCCCAGCTCTCTTTATTGTCTGTACACTTTAATATTAATTTGTTTGAATAAAGTCTGTTAAAGTATACTATCATATGGAGAAGAGGCACCAAAGCAATGTTCCATTGACCTCATAAACATCTGTGGAGCGACTGCTCTGTTTCTGCATTGCTGCCCCTCAGCCTTGGAGCTTTGAAGGTCCGGCAAAGGAAGCTGTTACACCTTGAAACTTTGCTAAGTTAACATATTCTATGAGCACACCCCCTGAGGTCACTTCTGATTCACACTCTCCAAATATGTCCCAAGTGCGTAAATATGCACCATGAACCCACTTGCTGAATTCCCTC